TGATGGTCAGACAGATAGACAAATAGATACTCAGTGCTATTAATGCTAGGTGCTAGTTTAGGTTCTGAGGAGACCTTAGGGAACAAATTGGTGATTTTTATTTTTTAAATAAAAAATGAACAAACAAATATACTGAAGACTTGTTTTGTTTTATTCTCCCTTGGAAGATTATTTATATAAAAAGAAAATCTATAGGTTTCTTTAGGAACATGGAATAACACCCAGGAAATTAGCTGGGTGATCTTCATTAACAGTGATTATTACCAAGCTAGAACATATACATTTTATTGTCTATACAGAGACTTTCTATATGTGGGATAGGTAGAACAGATTTACTAAAACTCCAAAAAAAATACTTTTAAAAAGGAATATTGATCAATATCATTATATAAATGTATGCTATGGCAGGCAAAGATAAAGAAAAATGACGGGTTGCAAGAAATCTCTGTCATGTCAAAGTTGACAAAGGACTAACAAATGCCAACTATCAACCAGAAAAAACACACACAGAGATTCTAGTTTCTAAAAATTGTCATAAGGTAAGGAAAGGCATTTTTAAAAAATGGTTACTAAAAAAGCTAATAAGCTTATGTGAAGATACTTAGAACTCATTATTATTTAACAAAACAATTGACAACATTGGTCTAATTTGTAGTCTGATCTCTTAGGTATCTTTATGCAAAAGATCAGTCATGTATGTCCACATTTGAAGGTAAATGGAAAATGCTGCTCCATGAGTGAGCAGCCAGCCTCTAGAGACTGCATTCCTATCCTGTTCTTCTAACTGTGATCATTTTGACTTTCTGTCAAAAGTAATTTCAATTTTTATTCCGAACACTATTTTCATCTGGATCTCCAAAACCTCTTTGGAGAAAGTATGCTTCTCCATTTAAATAATCAGAATTATACTGTGTCTAACAACCCTGAAATTCTTATTTTGGGGCTTCAGGCATTAAATCATCTAGAGAAAATTCAGATAAAACAGAAGTAGCATGAATATTAAAAATATGTCCTAATGAAGAAAGTGAGACGTGAAGAGTCTAAGTAGCTCATCCAATGCCCCAGAACTATTAAGTAGTAGAGTTGGAATTTGATATCAGAGGTCAAGTTTAGGTTTGCAAGTGGAGTTGTTGAAGGGGACTAAATAACTAAGTAACATAAAGATATTTTTATAAAATTTAATCAACTCTATTCTGTGTCAGGCATGAAACTGAACATTGGGGCTACAAAGCTGAAACTCCATACTTGGAAAGATAGGCAAAACAGATATTACTTTCTGAACCTAATAAATTCAACATGAGTGCATTGGTGTACTCATATCAGTGTATTATGGGCACTGAGAGCAGGAACACCTAATCCAGGTAGGAGAGGTCCTATAAACTTTCTGAAGAACAGTCCAGTTGAGCTAGAGTTAGCTATGAGGAGGCTAGAGGAGATGAAACAACTTCAAAAGCATCCAAAGACAATGTAGACAAAGGCATCAGCAAATATAGTATGCTGAATCACAGACTATACGGTGGAAATGAGGAAAGATAGTCAGAGCTCAGCTGTTGGAGGGCTTTTGGATATGGCAAAGAGTTTGGACTTAGTCCCATGAATGAATGGAGATTATAGAGTTATAGATAGGAGAGTCATATAAACATAAATGAACAGTAAATAGTTCAGGTGGCAGGCTGGAAATGGATTTAAATAAGCCAAGTTGTGCTGTGGTAATAAATCTCTAAATTTCAGACAGTTAATGTGATAATGGATTATTTCTTAAATATCCAAAGACTAGAACTGGCTGGCTATTCCTCCTCCATCTGGGAGCTATACCATCTGGAATGTGTGTGCTTCCAGGTTACTGAAGCAGAGGAGACCTGGAGGATATTGCAGGATGTGTTTACAGGTTGGGACTAGATGAGGCTTTTATCAGTTCCTCTCAGAAAGCACATTCTTGCTGTTCTGTTGAGAGTCTACCACAGAACAGAGTATTTCTTTCAGTCTTGTTTATAATAGGCTCAAGATACTTGTATATGCTTATTGCTTGAAAAAAAATTACTCTTTTATTCACTTCACTCAATAAATACTTTTAAAAAATATATATGTTTTCATAAATTTTTAGAGAGATAGAGGAGGGGAAGAAGGAGAGAGGGAGAAACATCCATGGGAGAAACATTGATTGGTTGCTTCTTGTACACACCTTGATTGGGGATTGAATCCACAACCTGGGCCCTGGGCAGGTGCCCTGACCAGGGATTGATACTGTAACCTTTTGGTGCACTGGATGGTGTTCAATCAATTAATCAATTGATCCACATCGACCAGGGCTCAATAAATGCTTTTTTGAGCATCTGCTATGATTCAGGTACTGTCATAACACCAGGGGTACAGCATTATTCATGTTACTTTCTTGTGGGTAAACTCTTGTGGGTAAACTCACAGGATATATGTGCAAAGGACAGAGTAACAGAGTAAGTGGGATGGAAGGTGCGATATGGGCCAGATCCTATGTCTCATAGGCTATTTTAAAGAATTTAAATTTGACTAAAATGAAGGGACTTTAGAATATTCTGTGCAAAAGGATGGCATGGTCTGACTTAATTTTTTTTGATGGATCATTCTTGCTAATCTGTTGAGAACAGACATAAGGTGGTAGGGTGGAAACATTGAGATCTATTGGGAAGTTATTAAGCAATCCAAGTGAATTATGATGGTGGCTCAGACATGGAGCTGGTGAAAAGTGATCAGATTTTGGATGTATCATGAAGATGGTTCATTTTATGAAGGTATTTAATTTTGAAGATACCATCATCAGAATTTGAGGGCAATTCCTGGTGTGACTTAAGCCAAGTTGCAGTCAACTGAGAAGAGATGAGCCTTAATTATTGAAATTGGCCTGAAATGGTTTTAGAAAGGCTCTAGAAAGCATTCGTTTCTTAAACTACTCAGACCTAATAGGTGTTCCTTTAGGATTTCAAATAATAACAATGTTTACAAGAAAAGTCTATTTTATTAGAATTAAAGCTTAGCTGCAAACATTCCACACAACTGACGATACTATATATAAAATCTAGAGATCTTTCTACTTATAATGAAAACAAGTTGGCTCGTAAATTACGTATTTTTTTGGAAAAATCAAGTCAGTAAATATTACAGTATATTAGATTCATTTTGATATAACATTTTATTGAATTTTTGTTAGAAGAATGTTTGCTTTATGGGATCTCCCCCATTTCTATAATGCTCATGTAAATAAAATTGTTTATTATAATTAATTATGATTATATTAGAAAGACACTAAATAAGATATGCCACTTTACCTTGATTGGATTCATTTGCTAGGTGCAACTTAGCAGAATGAGGTAATATTTAAGTTTGATTATAATGAAGGCAGAGAATGAAAGAAGATATACAAAACAGGAAACATAAATGCATAGATGTGAATTTATGGAAATAATAGACATTAGGCCCCTGAAAGGGATCAGTTTGGGTTTGAAGGTGTAAGAAGTTGGAAATTGGGACTGATATGGTTGCATATGGGTAATTTATAAGGTATAATAAAAGTTTCGATTTTATATTTTAGGTGAAATAAAGATAATGATGTGAACATGTAAAAGAACAATTGAAAAATGCCCCAGTGGAAGATGGAGAGTAGAAAGCAGATGAGGGAAAGCCACTAGAAAGCCATCCCATGGAAGCATATAAGTGAGAGACAATTTAATACCTAGAAATCTCAGAGAACCAAGTTTCTAAACTAGATCTCATCTAGCATGAAAGACAAACTAAAGTTATAAGTAATTATGTAATTATATATTGTTTTGCTGATACACTGACAAACATCAGCTTTATTTTTCTCTCCTATTAGGCTAAGGAATCAATGACCCCATAAAGATTCAATACCATGAGAAACCTACCACTTACCTTTGTACAACATATGCTTTCTAGAATCTTCCCCACTCAATTAACCAGGAAGTTCACATATAAAAGAACTTCTTTTAAAAGTCAACTTTTAAATACCTAGTGGAAAAACTGCATTCTTCTGGGAAGTAGGCAATAAATAAATGCTAAAAAGCCACCGCCTAACACCAGTTTTAGAAGCAATAGCAATGTATAAATCATAGCATGCATTAGAAAACTTCAATGCAATCAAAAGACATCACACCTAAAGAAGGAAATAATATATTAAATATCATAATCAACAAACAATATTTGGAATATGTTTTAGAATTTTCTACAAGTAAATAAGTAAAATATAAGCTATCCAAAAGAAAAATAAGCAAAAGATTAGTAGGCAATTCATAGAAAATGAAACTGAAGTGCTCATTGAGCATATATGGAAATATGTTTAAAGACCAATATTAAAAAAGTGTTCATCTCTTAAGGATGACAAAGAGAGGGGAATGAAATTTGGAAGAACTGCAAAGTGAATTGCCATTTCATGTATAACATTTAGTACCTTTAAACAATAAAAAGCAGAGTGGATACTGCTAAATATTAACATGTGGTTGTCTAAGTGATAAATATATGCATGTTTGACTTACTCTTCGTATTTTCTTTTATATTTTAAAAATATTTCTTAATAATAAATTTACATAATAAGTATGACAGTTTTACCATTGAATTCTATAAAAGTTTCTCCATCAATCATTTTTATGAGAAAACATAATAAGGGAGGACAGTATGAAATAAGGGAAAAACATAAGAGGAGGAGTTAGAATCCTAAATCCAGTCCCAAATCTGACACTTGTCCACTGTGTGACCCTGAGTAAACCACTTAATTCTTCTAAAACTAAATTCTCACCTAAGAACTTGAATAATAAATCCACTTTTACTACATACAGTTATTGTAAGAAGTGAATTATTTTATGTATATAAAAGTGATGTTCAAATATAAAGAAAATCATATGAAAATTCTTAAAACCTCTAGATAATTGGAATTAAATGAACATAATTTCCCATTTATTGTCATTTTGAACTTATGGAAACAGATATTAAAACAGACACACATCTCTTCTTACCGGGTCTATTAGCTGGGAATAGAGTTCATAGCAATTATCAAAAATATACTTGTACGTAGAATCCAGGCAAGCTCTGACACAGTCCTTTACCACCGTGCTGGCCTTTGGGGGGTTTTGCAGCTCCAGAACCTGACAGAGAAATTATTTTCTTAAATTGAAAAATGGAACATTACAATCTAGTATAAACAACTCAAACCATTTCAATAAATTCTTTTAGTTGATTTTTCAAAGTTCAGGAAAAATGTGGTCATAGAATGTTATAAATGCATAAATATCCATTTTAACTATGTAATGTGACAACTCATTGAAAATGTTCATAGTTGTAAATATGCAAATAGAAACACTAAATGTGAACAATTACATCATTTAATTAACTAATTAATTAATTCAACACTTGACAAATATTTACCACCTATTATATGCCAGACCATGGTTATATTGCAATTAACAACAGAAACAAAAATCCCTTTCAGCCATAACCAGTTTGGCTCAGTAGATAGAGCATTGGCCTGCAGACTACAGGGTCCTGAGTTCAATTCTGGCCAAGGGTACATGCCTGGGTTGCAGGTTCAATCCCTACCCAATCAATGATTCGCTCTCATCATTGATATTTCTATCTCCCTTCCTTCCTCTCTGAAATCAATAAAAAATATTGTTTAACAAATTCCTTTTGTTATGGAGCTAAATTTTAGTAGATTAAAAAAAATGTTGAACAAGAATAGACCCAGAGATAAGGAGCCATAGGTCAGACTGTTGGACTTCAAAAGGAGGGTGGGATAAAAGAGAGAGATCAACCAAAGGACTTATGTGCATACATATGAGCCTAACCAGTGGTCGAGGACAATAGGGGGTGGGGGCATGAGTGGGGGGTGTGAGGGATTGGAATGGCGGGTTGAGGACAAATATGTAATACCTTAATCAATAAAGAATTTTTTTTAAAAAATCAGTAAAATATATTACACTAGTGGTCTGGTGCATGAATTTGTGCACATTGAAAGAAAATTAATTAGAAGAAATGTTTTAATATTGCTATTCACCCTTTCTTTATAATAGAAGTGTTAACCAAATTCACAATCAACAATGACAGATATGCGATTGGTGCCAGAGAGAGCTTTATATGTATCAGACATGTAAGAGTCAACTTAGCCAAATATATATATATATATATATATATATATATATATATATATACCATGTTTCCCCAAAAATAAGAGCTAGCGCGTGGAAAAATAAGACATCCCCTGAAAATAAGACCTAGCGCATCTTTGGGAGCAAAAATTAATATAAGACACTGTCTTATTTTCAGAAAAACAGGGTGTATATATATATCTATCTTTCTCTATCTATCATCTATCTATCTATCTATGCAAGTTTATTATATATAATAAACTTGCTTAATTAGATCTGCTTTCTGATTTAGCTAAACTTTTTTCCAGCCTAGTGAACTAGGAACGCTCATCAATTTCTCTTTCAGGTAATTGTCAGCAACTCAGGTAATTGTCAGCAACACAGAAGTAAATATCAACCCAGAGAAGATTATTATTGTGACCACACAGGGAGAACAAAGAGTAAAATATTTAACTGCAGGACTGTTTGACTATATTCTGTGCAGTAAGAAAACCTGAATTCATTTTTAAGGTTCACCCTTTCTTACTTATCAGTCAGGTCAAGTTTCTAAGCTTTCTAAAACTCAGTTTTCTGGCTAATTAAAAGGAAATAGGATTCTATTGAGTCTCCTATCTACCTACCCAGGATTTCTGTGAGTATCAAATGAGACGTAGCATGGAAAAATGCTTCACAGACATTTGGTTAAAATATGAATGTTTGCTCCTGGCTATGAAGCAAGTCATGTTCTTGGGCTGTAGAAATTGCAAGGAGGCTAGTAGCTAGGGAGAGGGAGCCAGGTATTGCTATGTGATGTCATTTCCTGGGTAGTATTTTAATCTTTTATCTATATGATTATGATGCACGTTGAAAAGAAAAAAATAGAGAATAGATTGTAAGAGTTATCTCAATGGAGTAGAATAAATATAGAAGACAGCTATAGTATATGAACTTAGAGAAGTAAGAGGATGGGACTGGGGAAAAACCACGTATATGCTATGGAAAGAACCTTAACTTTGATGAAAGTGGACTCTTTGAGTAGAAGATCAAAATGACCTTATCCTTTAAATGGTTCCCTTATGTTGCCTTAAGGTGGGCTATAGAATAAGAGAAAAGACCAGTGATGTGAATATTGTGTAAACCAGTTAAGGGAAAACAGTGCTTGGACTATAGTGGTAGGCTAGGAGCTGGCTGTTATAAAAAAAATCCTATTTGGATTAATTTTGAAATGAAGAGCAGGATTTGCTGATATTATATGACTGATGTGAGAGAAAGAGAGAGTCAGGATCCCAAGGTTTTAGCCTGGGATCAATAGAGATAGCCTCAACTTAGACCAGCAAGGCTCTGCTTGGGAGATCAGGAGCTCAGTTTCAAAGAGGTTAAGATTGAAAGTCTGTCATGCATAAAAGTAGATTTCAAGTAGACATCTGGATAAATGAGTCTAGAGTTATGGAGTGCCTTGTGTATGTGTGTGTGTGTGTGTGTGTGTGTGTGTGTGTGTGTGTATATATATATATATATATATATTTTTTTTTTAGAGGCCTGGTGCACAAAATTCATGTACTCAGGGGGTTATCTCATCCCGTCCTGCACCCTTTCACAATCAGGGAGCCCGACATCTTAGCCCTGTGGTGGAGGTGGGAGAGTCTCCTGTCACCGCAGCTGCACTGGCCAAGCCAGACATGAGCCTGGCTTCTGGCCAAGCTGTGCTCCCCCTGTGGGAGTGCACTGACCACCAGGGGGCAGCTCCTTCATTGATTGTCTGCCCCGTGATGGTCATTGCATGTCATAGTGACCAGTCGTTCGTTCCGCCATTTTGCATATTATTCTTTTATTATTTTAAGATTGTTTACAATATCCAAGCAACCTATGTGTTCACAGATAGATGAGTGGAAAAAGGAGATGTCTCATATACACACATGCATACACACACACACACACACACACACACACATACATATTGGAATATTAGCCATAAAAAGAATAAAATCTTACCATTTTCTACAACATAGATAAAACTGGAGGATATTATGCTAAATAGAATATGATAAAGAAAGGCAAATGCCATATCATTTCAGTTAGGTGTGAAATATTACAAATAAAACAAATGAACAACCAAAACAAAACAGGAGCAGACTCATAGATCAGAGAACCAACCAGTGGTTGACATAGGGACAGGGTGGGGAAATGGGTAAAACGGGTAGAGGGGATTAGGCATACAAATGTCCAATTATAAAATAAATGTCACAAGGAAGTAATGGACAGAATAGAGGATATGATCAATAATACTTTAGTGACTGTATGGTGACAGAAAGAAATTGGAGTTATGGTGATCACTTCATAATGTATATAAATATTGAGCCACTATGTTGTACACCAGAAACTATTATAACATTGTATATAAATTATACTTCAATCAAAATGAAAGGTAAAACCAGACTTTAACTGTGTTGTACCACACTAAGTCAGTGTCAGAAATAAAATAAGGTACCTTCATTCTAAAAAAGGTGATACTTGTTAGCAAGTCCACAGTTGATTTCAGGTCTTGCAGTCTTTCAGCATTGCCAGCAGGAAAGTTTTCCTGGCCAATTAGGAAACAGAAAATGGGTAAATTATCAGCATTAATGTAAAACATCACAGAAAGTATGAGGATATACTCTTCTTAAATCTTATGAAGCTATATCCTTTTATTTATTCCCATAATACAATAAAAATACACAAAACAATATTATGACTGCAATATTATTCCTTGTTACTTAAGAGTTTTGCTACTAAAAGAGAGGAAGACAGCATATATTTGAAAATATTTATAGTTTTCTCAATATAGGTCACTTTTTTCCCAAAAAACTTTGGGAATATTTATATGTGCTATATGACTTTTAATCCCAAAGAAACTTTATTAAGAAAATAAGACTGGCCGAAACCAGTTTGGCTCAGTGGTAGAGCTCAGCCTGCGGACTGAAAGGTCCCGGGTTCGATTCCGGTCAAGGGCATGTACATTGGCTGCGGGCACATCCCCGGTGGGGGATGTGCAGGAGGCGGCTGGTCGATGTTTCTCTCTCATCATGTTTCTGGCTCTCTATCTCTCTCCCTTCCTCTCTGTAAAAAATCAATAAAATATATTAAAAAAAAGAAAAAAAAGAAAATAAGACTGTACTACAAAGTCTCCCCCTGAATTACTGTAGATTAAAAAAAAAAGTTTCTATCAATGAGATTTGGTGAGATATGTCAACAAAAATGGAGATGTTTTCAGACTAGCTTCTTAAATGGCTATCTCAAAAAATCATAGGTAACTTTTAGCTATTTCTGAGCTGGAACAGAGTTGGGGTGTCTAAATGATGGTGATTGAGTGAACTCAAGTCTCTGTTTACCTCCAACTATCGTTTCATTGCCTGGCATGGCAGTTCTCTTCTCATAGTGTTGGCCCCAGTTCAACATAAAGGGTGAGTTTGAGAAAATTTGATATTATAATTTCTATAAATATGCAATTAAGATTTCTATCAACAAGTGGCTGAAAGTTGAATATAGGAGAAATACATGTGTGCAGATATAAAAAGATGTTTAGGGTCAACTATTAAATAAAGAATGCAATCAATATTACTATAGTTTTTGTGAATAACAATTGTAATTATTTTTGTAACTAAAACTATATGTGTGTATTTATATTAATGTGAGAATATATATTTGTGCTTGTGTGTGTTTCACCTGGAGAGGCAGTATAGAATTATTGACAATGAACTCTGCACAGCTTCAAAATCTAGAAGGAATTTCTTAAGCAGCAAGTTCCCATAGGAATCTCAAAAGCTAGGGAAATATCAGCGGGGTATCTCAGTAACAAGGAATGAGTTTTCAAGATGAAAACTGGGCCATATATCCACTCCATAAATTAGCTTACAGCCACTCAATCTGATGGTATTTTAAAAAAAATCATAAAATTAAGCCACACACTCAGTATTGCTGTAGGCTTATGTGATGCTAGGTACATAACCAAGGGTCAAAAGCTTACTTATTTAGCAGACCCTTCTAATGTGATAGGAAATGAAATCCCATAATCAGGATTTTTTTGCTTTTCCATTACATAATGAATAGCTTTATACAATGTCACAAGAAACCATCTGAGCCAAGCACAATATTTACTTTCAGTCAAATAATTTTGTACATACCCTATACTTTGACAGGTCAATCCTTAAAGAGTTGTGCAACTGGTCTAGTAGTTTTATGAATCTTTCCCTCTGTCCAAAAAAAAAAAAAAAACACAAAATAGGAGAATGGAAATAAATGGTCACTATCAGTTATTGTTCCCATTTTATAGAAATCAAGGTTCAAAAATATCAATGACTTGTCTAAGATTATAGAGTTGGTATATGACATAGCAGTGTCTCAAAAAAAAGGTCTCTTTGACACCAAATTCACATTCCTTCAATAAGTCACAGGGCTCCCTGTGATGAATGGAAAGTATCCAGAGAATTATGTACTATAGAATTAGTGCAAGCAACTGAATTGCCACAGTACTGATTCATGACAATATGAGTCAGGAAGAGAAAATATAAACCATCTCTCTACCCACCCACACCAGCCCACCTCCCCAGAAATAAATTGTAGTGTGTGTGTGTGTGTGTGTGTGTGTGTGTGTGTGTGTGTGTGTGTGTTTTAATACTTCTTCCACCTATGGAAGTGGGAACAGCTGTTGTTTTTTCAAAAACAATTTTAAAAAGCATTTTACTTTTGGTAACATGTACAGACTTCACAATCTGAAAGGATGTAATGCTTTTAACTTACATGTTTTAGTGCTAACAAAAAATATAAAATATCAGTCAAAAACAACAACAACAATACACTAATGCTTCCCCTTAATTCTGTGTTGGTATTGTACCAACCTCTTCATAGAGGGATTTGAAGATGATAAAAATAAAAAGTTTTGCTATGAAATATAAGGATAAAGTTATGTAGATTAAAAACATTGAGTAAAAGTATCAGTCGCATGCATGAACTTTATAGAGATAGTTTCACCATTCATTTTGGTCAGATTTCTGACCAAAAATTAAAATAAAAAATATATTGAGGTAAGAGTAAATGATAGTGAATGTGTCTGCCTACATTAATATTTTTAAATACTAAAATGCATTTTGAAGATACTGGCAAAAGTGAAAACTTTTTCTAATGTTTTCACATACAAGATCGTTTCATAGGGTACAGAACTCTTATCTCTTGAAGTTACTTATCTTGATGAAGTGAGCTGAATATTAATTGAGTTGATGAATTATTCCTTAGTTGAAATTTCAATTTTCTGAATAAAGTCAAAATTTAATAGGTTGACACACTTGTGAACACAGTTTGAATATTGCCTCTGTGTTAATTCTTATGGAGGCAATAAAAGAACCCAGTAAATGAACATTGCTTTTCAGAAGTTTGCCACTTGTTCAGTGGATAAGACTCTTCTATAAAATGACTGAAAAATACTGTTGAGTTGACTGTACTAAATTTTTCTTTTCCATTTCCATCATACCTTCCCAGGAGAGGAGCTGGCTTATACTATCCTTTATTAACCTTTTATTTCCCCCATACATGTGTTTCAGTTGCTCTCAATCCAAATTAAAAAACAACAACAAGAGACCTATTATAATCATCAGTTTAGTCCATAGTAAAGTTAATTAATCAATGATTATAAAATAAAATGTGTTCATGTCATATCTCTGACCTCTTCATCTGACCTCTGTGATTGGTACATATCATCAAGATAGCTGATGTGACCCTAGTCAACCATGCTCTGGCCCAAATCACTGGCCCTGTTATATATTCTAGGACCAACCATTCTGGTTGTTTACTCTATATCCATTCTTCCACACTTCCTTACTAATGGAATCGCATGAGTCAAATATGTCCATTATAAGATACCTACTTTTCCAGACATCTTTGCCTCTAAGAATGACCATGTAGCCTGGTTTAGCTCAGGGGGTGCACTCAGCCTATTATCAATGAATTACTATTTGGAAAGATTCAAAACAGTGCGTGGCAGAGTGTTTGCTATATTACTCTTTGCGATGTAAGTCTTTGTTAGTTTTTTGTTTTGTTTTTTTTTCCCATTTGCTCTTTGTGTTTTACTTTTTTTCCACCTTAAACATAAACTATATCCTAGAAGGTAAAGCAGTTATCCTGTGGCTATAACAGTGGTCGGCAAACTCACTATTCAACAGAGCCAAATATCAACAGTACACGATTAGAATTTCTTTTGAGAGCCACTTTTTTTTTTTTAAACTTCTTCCAATGCCACTTCTTCAAAATAGACTTGCCCAGGATGTGGTATTTTGTGGAAGAGGCCAAAGAGCCACATGTAGCTCGTGAGCAGCAGTTTGCTGACCACTGGGCTATAAGATGAAAAGTTAAATAAATGGTAACAATAGTGTATGGAGCAAGAAGCAGGAGTCCCCACACCTTACACTTGCCATATCTGTCCACCCTTTCAAAAAATTACAATTCTGAGCAGCTACAGTAGCCCTGGGTTCCTATTACTTCTGTCGTTAGGTTACATGGAGACAAATCTTATTTAATTAAGTTTGTTTGAGTTTCTGTTTCATGACACTGAACAAAACCCTGACTGTTACAGATCACACATGTGGTTCCTACCTAGGTCTTCAGTAATCAGCTGGAAAGTTTACATTCAAGATAAATAGAAAACTGTGGAGAACACTGTGAGGCTTGCACAAAATCTCAAACAATATCAGATAACGTGAAATTAAAAGTGCACTGCTGATTAAATTTTCATAGAGATCCTTTAAACAGCAGGACAGCTTAAAAATTTAATTTTAACTTCCAAATTTCTATTCAACTTGAGTGCCATTGCCTTTGCCTGAGCAGAGGGGGCCTATTGCCTGCGCGATGTGATTTGAAGGATAAAAGACTGGGTGATGAAAGACTGTTTCCCCACTGTGTCAGAAACTGTGATATTATTCAGTTCTTTGTATTGGGTAAAGACTGCATGTCTGGCACTTGGTAGAAGCAAAATCAATAACAAGAATACTAAGTGTTACCTGTTATCAAAAATGTAGATTCAGCCGAAACCGGTTTGGCTCAATGGATAGAGCGTCGGCTTGGGGACTGGAGGGCCCGGGTTCGATTCCGGTCAAGGGCATGTACCTTGGTTGCGGGCATATCCCCAGTGGGGGGTGTGCAAGAGGCAGCTGGTCGATGACTCTCTCTCATCGATGTTTCTAACTCTCTATCTCTCTCTCTTCCTCTCTGTACAAAATCAAATAAAATATATTTTAAAAAAAATGTAGATTCAACTAGTTGATAAGAAAAACTATATCCATATAGTAAATATTTTCAGCTTTGTAACCTTTGTCACAACTATCAAACTCTGTATCGTAGCTCCCATAGACAACATATAAAAGAATGGGGCTGGGTTTTTGTCCAATAAATTTTTGTACATGGACACTGAAAATTGAATTTATCATTTTGATATCCCACAAATAACAGTCTTCTTTTTTGCTTCTTTTAACAATTTAAAAAATCTAAAATCAATCTTATCTCATGAGCCATACAAAATCAGTAGTTTTGGCCCCTGGGCAGAGGGGAGCTTTTGAGTATGAGGGAGAGATTGCTAGTGCATAACTGCATTCTTAGTACGTCTCCCAGGATCCTGGAACTATGGAAGGAAAAGCTCTTAGAAAGAAGGGGTGTAAAAATCTCTGCAGCATCCTGGGCTTTCTCTCTCAGAGCCTCATCTCAAAGGGAGGGATGCTTTAATTTCAAGATAAGGATGCGTAAGCTTTGGTACACTCTGGACCTCAGCTTTCCTGGGAGGAGCCCTGACCTGATCTTAGGTTTTTATAACATTTGCAAGAATAGGAGTAAAAATTATTCTGACCTGAACTGACAAATTATGAAAACTTTTTTTTCTAGATCATACCAAAAATAATCATTAAATAAGAAGAACAGAAACATTTCAAATAGAAGTAATACAGAGGCTATTTTAATCATTTTTGATAATTTAATGAATGTTGAAATTAATTGATTTGTAGAGAGCACATAGGAAAGGCCCCTGAGCTGAATATCCTTTGAATCTAGTGGCGCCTGGCAGAGCTATGCCCTGGAAACATACCTTGCCAGAGGCAGGTGTGTTGTCAATCTGACCTTTAGCTCAGGTGCCAGGGGGTGGATTTCATTATCTGGATCCAGCCAGGCACCAGGAACAAACACAATTATCTGGGCCCACCCAGAAGTGACAATTACAAAGATGCCACAAGAATGCACATAATCTTCTTTATCTTGGATTTTAGTAAAACCTCCTGGTATTTATTTCGCTGTATAAAATAAACATACTGTATAGGCTCTGGGTCACTGTCTCTCTTTCAGAGGACAGCTGTCCCACAGGGCCCCAGCTTTTTCCTTCTATCTCTGTGTCTGTCTCTGTCTTTCATTTTCTCAATCCCCTGTTGCCCCTACTCAGGACTTCTGTCCACTCTCTAGCCATGCTGCTCATGGAAAAGAGAAATATTATATACCAACAGAGATTCTACAACATTATAAAATGCCACTACAATGATGCTGTCAAAGATAAACATCTTAATACATTAATACATGTTATCAATACAAAGAGCGTTTAAGAAGTCCCTTCACAGGCAATCTTGAAAAGCATTGAGATGTTATTATTCACTGACCAAGAGAGCTCAGATGCTTCCCTCATTTTGACTAAGCTTTACACAGGCTTCTGTTCTTGACTCTTAGGTCTTGGCCTCCCTTTTTCATTTTTAGAGTCTTTTCTTTGGAGACTTTATAATTGCACATTTCTTCTCTACCCTTTTGAGATGTAAATCTTTTTAAATGATGCCCCTTGCCAGTTTTATAAGCTTCTAATGTCTTTCTCAAGTACTTGAGAGCCATCCTTTTGAAATGTAAGCATTAAAAAGATAGCACCTCTATCTCTCAGTCTTAGCAGGAGGGTAGGAGACTAATTTTGATGGATGTCAATTAGCAAACACAGTTGGCCTAGCCACAGACTTTTACAAATTCAATATGCTGAACATGTCCTATTGATCAACCTTCCTTCTAATATCCTCATGTACTTTTTTCCTATATTATTCCAGCCTTTGTTTCAGGGAAGTTGAACTTCCTATTATCTCCTCCCTATTGCAATAGCCTTAAATGACAGTCTTCCTTAACTGTTTAACTTCACTGGGCACAATTTTTGCTCTGATATCACACAAGAAAAAAAGTATAATAAATGTATTCTCAAGTTTGATAAATCATTAAAAGGTATGTGGCCATTATCAATGAATTATGAAAGTGAAAGGAACTTTTCTAAAGTATCAATTTTTAAAGTTTGATCAAATGTACTAGATAAGAGTGAATTATCTTTTTATCTATAGAAAGAATATTTCAGATTTTTTTCCATATAAATAAGTGATCTAGCATCTACCATCAAAAACTGTAAAAACACACTTTTATAGACATATGTTAGGAAGTTAATTAATAAAAATATGTTGTATCTCTAGAATTTTTTATATTTGTGGAATTTGTCATAACTTCTAACTCATTGTAATTTATTTTTATTAGAAATAAATATTACATATATATCAATTTTTTTCATTGACAATTTTACATTCTTTTTAACAAGAGTCTTAACAAATAGTCTAAGGTTTAGGCAGCACAAAACTAGAATTGCTTAAGGAAGTCATAAAGAAATAATTTATTTCCAAATGTTTTCTACATTCATTTTCTCATTTGCCACATCACTTCATTTTATCTAAACCATTGTCTAGATGCAGCATTACTTTGTCTTACTAGGGTTAGCCCATCAGCCTCCTCACTGATTTCCATTTAGTCCTTCTGTGTTCAATACCAGGATCTGGTTTACTCATTTCTCCTTTATTGTGATTCCCTGTAGTTTTGAGACTAGAAAACTAAATCCTGTTTTTCTCAAACTCCTTTGCAGTTAGGTTTCTGCAATTATCTTAGTTTCTGCCTATTAAATGCATGGAAGCTACTACCTTTGGGAAGCAGACCTAAAGTGGAGGCCCACTTCCTGCTTCCTGGTTTACTTCTGCTGCTAAGTAAAGTCCTAGAGATACTTAATTTCTCATCCCAGGTCTCTAGCTTGTGGTTTTATAAAGACTGTAGCATTGTAAATAGAAGCAGCTTTCTGATCTATCTCTCTGAGTGTAGGGAAGCTCACAGCTTCTCTTTCAAGTCAGTTTCACTGTGATATTTTAAGAATTATTACAGAAGGATCCTCCGCCAGTCCCTCAGATGGTAATTGTGAGCATCTAATTCTGTGCCAAGACCCTTTCAATTTAAACTTGCTTGGATGGTTTCTATTACTACAACCAAACTCTGTCTGTCTCAGACTCATTTTATCTTTCCCTCCTGTAAAATTTCCTCTAAAGAGTGATGTAAGTCAAATGTTCTATCAAAGTATACCCTTTGCCTCAAGATGAAATCCAAACATTTCAGTTGGCAACTTAATATTAACCTAAGAACACAGCACCATCTTGTAGTTCCATGTTTTATTCTATCTGCCATACTCAGTAGGCAGGCTACCTTACACAAACTTCTTTCAACTTATTTTGCATCTTCTCCTTTCCTTTCCTCAAATGTCTCCCATGCCTGAGGTAGTTTTTCTATTACTTCTTGGACATCAAAAAATATTACTCATCCCTAAAAGCCTTGCTCCATTTCTACATTATTTTTTTTTATAAATTTTATCATACAAATGTGAAAACAAGGATAAAAGTTAGTGAGGAAATAGGGGTTCTGTCTGTTTCCCTTTATTCTTGAATATTTTCACCTAAACTATGACTTCAAATAGCACCTGTACAAAAAACGATTTTCTTTCCTTGAGTATTTGTTTTAAAATCCTCATCAGTAAAATAACTTTTCCCACTGCTTTAACTTTTGAAGAATCAAAATATTTGGGTTACACCTTTGTGAAGGATAAAGAAGGACCAATATAATGGTGTTCCTACGTTACAAATGACAGTATCAGCTTCAAAAGTCAGGTAAATAAGAATGCCAAGCTTTAAAGTGCACGTAGGAGACACTTTACTTACATATATTATACAAATAACATTATTTTCAATAGATAGAGAAAAATATGGTTACATTTGCATACCACCTCACCAATGTATACAGATGTAGTTTGAGAAATATTTTCTTTTTGAAACCTCTTCGACAATAAGTCATTTGATTTACAAAATGAAGTTTGTTATAATCATATTGCCACTGAAACACTAAAAAGAACTGACATCAATTTGGTTTCTCTTCTTTGGGTCAGCGTGAAGTGAAAAAGCATGCTACTTATTTCCCTCCAGGTAGCATTTATGTTGGATATTAATCATGTAAACACATCTTCTTTCTCAGGTGGTAAAAGTTTCCATGTTCCACAAGGTTGGCTTATTCTGCATAATGTTCCCAGGAAGAATATTAAAAGCAAAACAATTTCATAACACTGAATGCTTTATGTTACAGGTAAAACCCTGGGACAATCAATGCTATTACCAAAACGAGGTTGTTATAACAAAACTACTCTATGATCTGGTATGACTCATGATTGTATTTTTTTGCAGGGCTGGTTAGGGAATGTTCTTTGGTCCCAGCTGTTGCAAGAGTCAAACTGTATAGCAAAAGTGCCTGGTGGTGTACTGTGGAGACCAAGCATATTAAATTTAAAGGCTAACACAGACCAAATAAACCAGGTTTAAGTTAATGTGAGCTGCAAAAAACCAAAAGCTTCAATTTTCATAGAAATGTAGATTTATTTGGATAGAGACATGCTGAATACAAAGGGCTGACATGAGCAATCATTAGCATAAAATAATAGAACATTTTAATAAAAATTAATATTTTTTCTTGAATATTAACTTACCAGACACTGAATGACTGCACAAATTACTAAGTGTAGCCCAAATAAACTTATTTTTCTTTCTCCAAAAGTGAAATATTTTCTGTTGTGCATACCAAATATGTCAGTCCAAGAGTAATGATATGGCCATCAGCTGCTAAAATATTCCCTGCTAGTATTAGTGGAGAGAAATGGTGTATCTGCACACAAGGGGTGTAAGGGAAATGAATGCAACTCAATTATAGTTATCAGTCATTAGCGAATACTGTAGCTCATTATAATTATGTGTAACAGGATATTGTAAAAATTAAGTTATGAAATGTTTCTTATATACCATTATATTGGCTGGTTCACAATAATATTTGTTGTGGGCCACATGTGGCCTGCAGGCCGTAAGTCTGACATGCTTGGTTTTGACTATAGGTAAGAGAAATGCAATTTTCATATCTTATTATAGAGAGAATTTTTAATGTTTACAAACTGGCTTACCACCTTTTACCTCATTTTAATTTAGAAACATGTTAAAGAAATAATTCTTGTCCACATAGAGCAGATTGAGAAATAGTTTTAAATGACTGAATTGACTTACTAATTTTGAGTTCAAACTCCAACCCCATGACTAATCTCATAGAGCTTTCTTCTACTAGTGTTTATTTTGTCTTGTCATTAAATAACAATCACTTTTCCTTTGATTCATTCCACCTCATCTTTCTACTTCACATGCATTTTCTTTTAGATGAAAACGACAAGAAAATAGACACAGCAGCACATCTCCTGCACCCCCTTTACTGGCTTTACACCATTTTATTTGTTGGGTTTCATTTTTTTCTCTATGACACATAATGTCCTCAGTTTGATTTCTAACACCATGATCAATCACAAAATCTACTCAGTGAACCAATTTGGAAGTTCAGTGGGAAATGTAACGGCAATCTCATGGAAAAATACATCTCTTAGGGATATTGAATAAAGCTACTGGATTACCCATGTGCCCTGGTCAAAACCTTGGGAATCTTTCCAGGCATTTTTCCATTTCCCTCACTGTCCACATCCTGAAAGATACTTAGTGAAGTTGAAAAGCTCTGAAATTTGTTCTTCCTTCTTGGTCTCCACTAATTCTTAGTTTAGATCTTTACCACTTTACTAAAATTACTGTTAATTTATATCCTATTTCCAGTTTTGTCAATTTCAATTTTTTAAAAACATATTTTTATTGGTTTGAGAGAGGGGGACGGAGAAGTATAGAGAGCTAGAAACATCAATGACAGAGGGACATTGATTGGCTGCTGATGGGGAATCAAACAGGGGACCTCTTGGTTCTTGGGTCAATACTCAACCACTGAGCCACAATGGCCAGGCTCAATTTAATTTAATTTAATGCTTATAGAGAATGAGCTCCAGTGACAGGGGCAATAGGTAATGAGATTCCACAGAATCCCTACATTTTTACTTTTCAATGTATTTTTAACGCATTTGAATACTTCATGTGGACAATCTTAATTAGATACAGGTAGTTCTATTAGACTCTTTATACATCTACTAGAGGCTCAGTGCATGAAATTAGTGCACTGGTAGGGTCCCTAGCACCTGCCGGCTGCCAGCCAGGGCCTCCCTCCCTTCCCCCTGCTAGCCTGCCCCCCTGGTCAAACTCCCATAAGTACTCCAGTTGAGGAGGAAATTTGCATACTATGCTTTTATATTATAGGATTATTTATTTATTTATTCATTCATTTTTTACTTAGAAGATATGCTGTTATTCATCAGTATCAGTAGAAACAAACAGAAGGTACAAATGAAGCCTAATAGAGAAATCAACCAAACTCACATTTACCAGAGAAAAGTGTCTGCAATGGTGAATCCCAAATTTGCACACATGGATAATTTCTTACAAAATACCAATACTCTCACAAAATATATGTTTTTCCCTCATTGAAAAAGCTCATTCCAGATATGGAGATTTCATCTAATGAAAATGCTTACTGACTGTCAAAATGATTTCACTGAATATGTTTCAAGAGGACTTTTAGCTTTAGCCCAATTATAGTAATTAATATTTCCTAAGATATACCTTTTGCAATGAGATTCCAAGAATATCTGGAGCCCAGTAACCCTTTAATATGTAACTCCCATAAGCTTCTAGAAATTTTATAATTAACAAAGCAATACATACACCGAAGTTGGTAGCTGCAAATCGATCCGAGGCAGAAACCTGCACGTTTGTTGAAACTGTTGTGTGAGCATAGAAAGCATTTATATTCGCCAGCAAGGTGCTCATGATGGCAGGGACGCCGGGGCACATGTATTTAGAAGACAGACATGAGAAGTGCCTGCAAGATAAGAACATCCAGCCCTTTAGATAGGAACCACATAATTCAAACAATAGCATAACATCTAACACCAGCAATTAAATAATTCCTCATCTGCATCTGTGAAAAGAACCATATCTGTAATTGAAATAGAAAGCAATTTCAGCCCTTTAAAAAGTTCTCCCTCACAGATGTGGAGTGGTTTAATTAGAATACGATTTGCCAAGGGGATGTGTGCATAAACCCTTTCAATTGTGAGAGCGTTGTGTGTACACAGTGAAAGTACAATTTCCAGAGGACTCCAGCACGATGGCAGGAAGCAATAACACAGGTGTCTCCTTTTCCCAGCAACTGTGTCCCTACTCATGTCACGGGTAAAGCAAGAGGCCCTCCTCATACTGCACACTGACTGAACAAGTAAATGTAACATCTGCCTCCAGTCTAGCTTGTGAGCTTTTGTCGTAAAGGATTATCTTTCATAAGCAGTTCTGTCTCCAATTTTGCTAAAGCCGGGATTTAATTAAGCCAACAGATGAGTAGTGAGGGCAGGTTGGATTATGCCATCTTTATACTTAAAGACCATTCCTTTTGAACCTTGAATGATAGTTTCATGTACACACATCAGAAGCAATAAGCGTTCAGTTCTGGTACTCCTCTCAAGAGAACCCATTTCATCTGAACCATAACAAAAGACCTGAGCATTGAAAGCACAGCTTAGGGATCAAAGTGAAAATATAAGTTACGTACAAAGGAAGAAAATTTCAGCACATAATCTGAGCCCATGTTGCTGTCCTTCCTCAGTAATGTGTCCTACTCCTAGGCCTCAGTGGATTTTGTATTACTGAGTACAAGCACAGAGTGTACATATATATGGAAATGGCCTGAGCTGCACCTCAAATGAAATGGCTGGTGGTCCTACTAACGGTGGCTTCTCTGAAATCTCAGCCAGGCCACTCTCCTAGAGCTTGTTACAACACTAGCTAATAAAAGTAGGTTAAATTTTTAAATGTGGATCTCTGAGGATCATGAATAACAAACATAACTTGAGAGTTACATAATTTGTGCAATTTAACCCTAGAATTAGATTATCACTGATTGTTTCATTTAGGTACATATTTTGACTTCATTATACACTAAATTAATTCTTATTAATATCTATTAAATACTATAAATTTACATAAATATATTTTAAAAAATAAATTTATATTCTCTAGCACTATGATTTTTGCATTTCTTTCTCTCCCCAACATCTCATAAGTAATTATGTTTGGTAGGCCCAAATTAGAGGACAATCTGTAATTGTGGATTATGCAAAGCCTGAGGCATTTTGACTTTCTGAATGTTCGGCTAACAGATTTGTACATGGTCTTCACTTTGGGAATGTATCTGCTGCAGAGCCTGTATGTCCTTTCTTTATACATGGTTACTGCTAAGGCCTGCTTTTTTTGCTTCTAACCATCTCTTTGAAAATCATTTCCTTTTAAAGGCTGCAGTTCCAATTCTTCTTAAATTATCCTAAGGGGAAGAGATGAAACAGGATTAAAAGTACAATTAGCAATTTAAATGACAGAGTACATCCTTGCGGCAAACCACCCCTTCAAAAAGCATACCTTCAAACAAAATAGGTCAAACCATAATACTATAATTTCTGGAAGTGCGTAACAATTCCCTAACAGACTTGATTAAGAACAATTAGTTAATAATATTAAAATCACTTGACTTCATTTTTGCAAGAAAGTAGGGTTAGTGTCAAATCAACTTAGCAAATGGAATTTCAGTTCCATGGGAAAAATTGAAGTAACAAACTCCAAAAAGACAACGCTTGAATTAGCAATAATGAGATTGTTATTAGGCATCTTGGCTGAAGCAACGGCCAAAACATTGTCAACCATTAATTCTCAAAATATGACTGGGAAAATATTGGAAGTCATGTGTATATACTTCAAGTAACACATGTGGATTCAGTTAGCTATTGTTTTGTCGGTATCATAATGAAGAAAAAATTATCTAACTCCCCTGTCTTTTCATGGATAACTGTCTCTACTGACACCCATTTTGTGGTTTTCAAGGGATGAAAATGCCTTTGATTAAACAGATTTTAAAATCTCTTTAACTATTTTTAATGACCACAATAGCAGGGTGATTAGAAAGCAGCACCAAAAAAGATAGTGATTCTTAAACCCTTATAAGGGTTTTCAGAGAAACAATACAAGATGAAAGAAAAGAATATCTGTATTCTTGATGTTAGAAATATACTAAAACAGTATTTATCACATTTGCTCCAGAGAATTCAGAGTAGCATGCATTTCAGTGATGAGTAAATGTTTTATTCATCCTTGTCGCTAAAGAGGGGCTTGAACTTTTAAAGGATCACTTCTCTTTTGGTCGAAAGCATCAGTGTTTTAAAGGTGCTATTGATGGCTGGTGCTCGATTAAAGAGATTTTTGAGAAATAAAGTAATAAAATGCATAGGGTTTAGAGAAATTATCAAGGTTGGATAGTAAGTCAGAATGGGACATGCAAGCTGCCCATGACCTCTGACACCTCTCTTCATATATGCCTTAATTTGCCCCCTGCCTATGACCTTATAGCACACATGCATATCTCTATTATACTGTTTTGTCATTATGTAATTTCTTCTTCCTGTTCTCCCTAGATTAGGAACTCACTAGGTATAAGAGCCTTCTTTTATTATTGAATCCCATTGCCCTGTATAAGTCCTCTTTCTTAGATACTTAGAAAGTGTCTATCAAATAAATACATTACTTCTTCTGAAATGTGGGTTCTATGGAGGTCTGGACCTTGCCTTCTTGTTCACTGATGTATGGTTAGTGCCTAGAAAACTTCCTGGCACATGGAAGGCACTCGATAAATATGTATTAAAAGAATGAATGACTTAGTTGAGCATTAATATCTTTAGAAAGCAAGATCCTGGCTCAAGCAGGTAAAATAGACCAGTGGCATTAAAGTAAACTATATCCCAACAGTTCTGATTTAAAAATGAATTAGAATAGAATGATTAGTGCCAAAGCATTGGTTGTTAAGCTCACCAAAGGGAAAAAAAAAATGACCGAATACTTTTTTTTCTTATTTGGTACTAGAGGCATGGTGCATGGATTGGTGCATGGTTGGGGTCCAGCTTGTCCACCCCAATTGTGGCCTATTGGGCTGGGCCAGCCGGTGGGAAGGGATGCAGGTGGTTGGCCAGCAGGCCCCACTCCCTGGGTGAACTCCTGGTTGAATTCCTTGTCAAGGCTAATTTGCATATTAGCCTTTTCTTACACAGGATTACAGAGGGATGATTATGTAGCCTAATAGAATCTCAGATTTTTAAAGAAACCTTGGGTTTCATTTTATAATAAATGATAGACTCATTAAGTACTCAGTTAAAATGTATTTGCTCAACAGAGATCATTTTCAGAGGACAATTTAAACTTTAATGCTTGACATGAAATTTTCTGCATGTGTTCAGGGGTGAACAGATGGTCTGTCAGAACACTGTTAAAAACATACATTTGCATAAATAAATGAAAAGCATCAAGGATTCCCTAATTCTCATCCTGGAAACAGGATCTATGCCCAATCTCATAGTGTGAGATACATGGAATAGCATGCTCCTTTCAAAAATAGATCACATGCTCCTTATCACTCTCATAAATTGGAAAACTGCTCTCATTTTAGATGGATGTGTGCATTTACCATATGAAAACAAATCCTCCAGGTCCTGATCAAACACTTTTTCAAAAAGGAAAACTGCAATTCATTTTCTCTTTCTCATGAATGCTCCAAAACAAAGAATACATTGTTATGCAGCAAATAGGGCTAATAAATTGTGCCCTCATAGAAAATGTTCCGTGGTAAAAGGAGAGAGGATTTACAATAAGTAGGAGGAACCCTGAGGATTGAGCAATTCCGAATTAACAGTCAGGTTACTTACTAGCAAAATCGATTCAGCCTCTTTCTTATGATAAGAAATACACAAGAGGAAAACTCAACAACCAGACACTCTGAGTTAATAAACATTTTCCTCTTATTTATTTGTGCTCCAAATTTACCTTAAAAATATGGGAATATGCCTAAAGAAACCAAGCAATCTCTAATGTAAGAGGTAGGTTATAAAGTTACCTGGGAACTTGGCTAAGCATAAAAGGACTTTAAGTATTAAAAATAAACACTAATTTGATTTATTTTTCTGATCACATGGTGCACAGTAAAATCCAGAAGAATTAAACAGTTTTGTTCTTTCCCAAACTTGTATCTTTACTACACAGATAGGACACATATTTTTTCCTTAAAGTTTAATTCCCAAATTTTGTGTGATTAAAAATTAAGAACAAATTCTTCTGAGATAACCTGGCCATGACTAGTTGAGTATTGTTATTGGTTGTTTGGTTTTCTGGTCCCCTGAAGCCAGTTTTTGAAAAACAAAAAAATATTAATTCAATAGGCATGCAGTTTAAATTCAAAGATATGGTTGGTTATTAATAAACTGTTGTTGTTGAGTTATTCATTAGCCTTCAATAGTTTAGGACTCAAGTTATACTTCAAATACAAAATTATTATATGGAAAATATTGCCAAAAGCTGTTCTTCAAGTTATACTTTGTATCTAATAGAAAAATGTCAGTATTCTGAAAATTATCCAAATTATTAGAAATAATCAACATAATATTTTCTAAAACACTCAAATGCAACACAAATGATAAAAATGATACCTACATCAACATAAATATAATTTTTAGGTCCATTTGACAACTGAAAATGTCTTAAATGAAAAGAAATGCCAGGAGAATGTGGGAATAAATACAATTCTTATAAACATGATTACACATAAACATGATTACACATAGAATTATCATATCAATATCAACATAAAATGTATATTTTTCTATAAAAATTAATTTTCAATTTATGATCATCAATGAATAATAAATGAAGACATCATATTTACATGAATAGTAATATATTTTAAGTGTTATTAGTTTGTCAAATTGCTCTTAGCAACATATTTTTGAATGTGTG